ATAATATAATATAATATAATATAATATAATATAATATAATATAATATAATATATGTATATATATATATATATATATATGTATATGTATATGTATGTATGTATATATATATATATAAATATATTTATTTATATTTATATGGTTTAATAGTATAGTTTACAGCTAGATCACTCGAAGCCTGGAGCCGAGGCCAGGGCAAAGGGGCTCCGAGCAACGGCCACGCGGTGCCCAAGGCGCCCCAAGCCGCGGCCGCAGCCGGCACGGGCCAGGTGGTGCCGCCTCGAAGTCGGCGGCTCAAGACGGTACCCTTAGGGTTTAGGGCTTAGGGTTTAGGGCTTAGGGTTTAGAGTTTAGGGTTTAGGGTTTAGGGTTTAGGGTATAGGTTTTAAGAGTTTTTGGAGGTTTGAGGGCTTTGAATCGGAAGGTTTCGGATTGAGCGTTGGGCAGGGTTTCGGGTTCGAGGAGCCCCGAGGCTTCCTACATTGGCTCTTCTTCGGCTAAGGTTTGCCATGGCTCTTGTTAGTGTTAGTACGGCCCTCGATGGAGTCTGCCAGGTTTCTTGGTATCTGAGACTTATTTTGGAAGACCCAAGTCCAAAGCTGGCCAAGACTGTTCTCGACTTATCCTCAGTCGGTAGGGTTTAGGCTTTAGGGCACCGCTATTGCTTTCCGTTCTCTGCAGTCGCTGTACTCGTGCGCTCTTCTGCTCGTGCTGCCCTTGTTTCCCGCCTGGTGTTTTGGCATCGTTATTGATGCTCACAGTGGTATCGGGAGTGTAGTTGATACCACTAGCACCGAAAGGCTAGGTTTTACATCTGATTCCCAAGCTTGTACACCCTACATGCTACAACTGCAAGCAGTTCCAATGAAAAGGGCGTTGTTTTTTTGCCAAAGGTTTGATGAGGGTTCTGTCGCGGCCTTCCCCGGGTTTGGGGTTGCTTCAGTTCCTTCCCAACTTGAGGCTCGGCGCCTTGGCAGTGGGGCACAGGCACGCAGGGCAGGGCAGGGCAGGGCGGAGGTATCGAAGAAGTTTTAGGGTCAGCGTGGTAGTTCATGAGTATAACCCAAGAAATGCCTTGAAAGTGAACCAGGTCTCGTTTCATCAGCGCCGACTGCAGAGGCCCATCTGCTGGGTTGATGGTGCAGGTTTTGGGTATCAGCTGGGGCTGATCCCACTACACTGCCTGCATAAACTCTCGCGCCTCCACCGTCTACACAGAAAGCCGGAAGAAAGTCCGAACCCCCGAAGCCCGAAGATCAATCGAGCACGACTTCTCCGTAAACCCGAAACCGGTCCTGCCTTCCGCTTCTTTCAGAGGCCGAAGCTGAAGATGAGGAGATGGAGCCCAAGAAGGAGCTGGAGGCCTTGCTCCTCTGGGTTTAGGGGGGTTTAGGGTTTAGGGTTTAGGGGGTTTAGGGGTTAGGTCATTGAAGGTTTCGCGGCATTGTGAAGAAGAAGTTTCAACTCCCAGAAACCAGTCGTAGGTTAAAGCCCCAAGACCCTGCACCCTACACGCCGAACGACTTTCTTGGCTTTCTGTCTGCGGTGTTGTTTTTTAAAGTTTCTGTCGCGATGACCGAAGCCTGGAAGCCGTAAACCCTGAAGAGTCGAAGCCCTGGATTCAGCCAGAGGCCTTCCTCCAAAGCGCTCCGCTCCCTGGAGAGACCTGGGAGGAAGAGGAGGAGCCAGCACAGGCCAGGCTCCGGCATGGGGGTGGTTTTTCGGAAGTAGAGGCTGCGGCTTAAGAGTCTTAGGGCCTGGAACTTCTGAGGGTCTACGATGATTTCACGGTGGTGTTCACGAGGCTTGCACACCTCCTCCATCAACGATGCTGTGGTTTCTGGAGTCTAATGATGTTGTAGTTGCCGTTGAAGGTTGTGAGTGGGTTGCGAGATGGCAAATGTTGTTGGAATTTGGCACCGTTATTTATATGATCGCCGATGCAAAGGTTCTGTTGTAATGCTCGAGAGGCTTCATCGGTTGCTCATCGACTGGTTGACGAGAGTTTGTTACTACGTGCAGGTTTTTCCGAGTCGTTTAGAAAGGCTGGCTGTATGTTCAGGCTCCTGTTAGGTTTACCTTGCTTGCAGAATTCCATGCCGCCAGGTTTTTGAGCTTGAGGGCTCAGCCAAAAGCCCTACACCCCCAAAGTCCTCAAACCCTACACCCTGTATGCCCAACACCCGAAACCTTTATTGCAGTCTATGATGTCGGGTACTGTACCCTATGAAGGTGAGGTGTGAGAAGGTCCGTTTTGGGTGGCACATCCTTAGCCCGGAAGCCTCAAATCTTAAGATCCCTAGACCCGAAACCCTGAAGCCCCATGAAAGCCGGCAACCCTCAGGGCCATAAGCCATAAAGCCATAAAGCCTGAGCCAACAGCCCCCAAACATGTTGGGTTCCATGGGGCAGGCTGGCGAGGAGGAAGCGCCGTTGCGCAAGCCTAACAAGCAGCTGGAGGCAGGGAGACGCGCAGCCAACAAGCGAACTCCTACCACCTTTCTCTCGCAGGCTCTTGCCGCCACAAGCTTCCGGCGCTTGCTCTGACTTACATTAGACAGGTTTTGTACTGGCCGTTCATGGTCCACGCAACAAACACTGGAGCATCGTTGGGCGCCCAAACTCATCGCCATGTTTTTCCCTGACTGTAGATGGTGATTCCTACCTAAGCGTATGACCTGTTTAAAGGTACCTGGCGGCTCTAGGTAGGGCTAAGGGCCAAGGGGATGGATCACCGAAAGAGGCCTTCCTCAACGGCGCCCCGATGCCCGGCTCCGACGACGAGGAAGACACAGAGCTTTTCAAGGCCGGCAACTTCCTCTACGAAGAGCTAGCAGCTAGTCGGTCGCCCTAAAACCTCATTCGCTAAATTAAACCCAAAAGCATAAGCTGAGAGCATGATTCGAGCCCAAATCTACGGCCTAGGGAAGGGTGGTAATTGAGCCCTGAGCCCTAAACCCTAAGGCCACAATCCTAGACCACCAGAATCCGGAATCCAAAAATCGGCCCAGCATGGAACTACTCGTAGAGGGCTCTGAATCCTTCGGTTTTGTCCTGTTTGGCTTCCGTAAGCCGAGCCTCTAGACTCGCCCACACTCCAACCAAGAAGGCTCCAAGTGCGGCTCCAAGAAGCCCAAGACCCCCCACTCCCCCAGAACCCCAAAGCCCTGAAGCCCCGTAATGCCTTATAAGCTCCTATATACGCCCAAAAGCATCCTAAACCCCTAAACCCCTAAACCCTAAACCCCTAAACCCAAACCACTAAAGCCTGAAGCCAAACCTTTAAAACCAAGTGCTAAACTCTTTCAAGCCACGCGGGAGGCTCAGGAGCCCCAGGAGGAGCCCACGCCCACGCCGGAGCCCTTTGCCGCTTCCAAACCGAGAGCCAGGCGAGCTACGGGCTGTTTGGTACGTTTGGGGGCCTTAGGAAATTAGAGTTGGCATTGGGGGGGTTTCTTATTATCATATTATTGTATAATATACCCCTCCCCAAACCCTATTCTAATTATTAAGGCCCCTATATTACATTAAGGGGTTTAGGGGTTCGGTTCGGGGGTTAGGGAAATCTAGGAGTTGGGGGTCGAGGATTGGGTAGTAGGGGGCTTTAGGATACTTAGGGGCTTGGTTCAATGCAGGTTTGGGGGCATTTGCAGGGCTCTATAAGCGGTAGGCAACAGGCATTAACCGGACTATGCCGCTTGTTTTCGTACTTCAGGTTTTCATCAGGATAAAGCCTTACAAAACTGTTGAAAGCCATGTAAAAACCGTGCAACATAGGGGCCAAAATAGCTAATTATACTATTTTGGGGGTTCCTTTTTCTAAGTATAGTAGAATATACCCCAAAACCCTAGTCTAATTGTTACAAGGCCCCTATAGTAACTATACCATGTAACAGCCTATCAAAAAGCCAGAGAGTAAAGGCCTGGTGAAGACTGGCTAGACATGGACGAGGCAGAGTCGACAAGGTGGCTTGGCGGAGATGTCGGCGTTGGGTTTAAGGGCCTTTGAGTTTTAAACCGGTTTTGGGGTTTTAACGTTTAGTGGTTTTGGGGGGTTTGTTAGGGTCTTTAGGTTTGGTGTCAGGCTGTTTTCGAGTGCATTGTAGGGCCTCAACCGGGGTTTACGTTCTTGTGTTGCTTTTGTTGCTACAGGGAGGGTGTTGGGTTTAACCCGATGCCGGATCCCCAGGAAAGTACGAATGCCCAGGCTCAAGAGCCGCCAACCTCAAGCCCCATGTACCCTGAAGCCCCCGGAGAGACCTCAAAGCCTTGACCTTATTCACCCAATGTCCGAAGCCCGCAATGTAGCCTTGAAGGCCGGATGCCCCAATGATTCGGAAATGAGGTGCTGGACTCCTCCTTGTAGCGTGAAGCAACTGGCAGGTTTCCAGCGCCAAAGAGGCCTGCGCCAAAGATGGAGGCGCCGGCGACGGTGTGACCTTGAACCGCTGTTGTAAGCCTCCTGGATCTTTCTCAGTCTTCAGGGAGTGCAAAAGCATCGAGCTCAGTCCACTGCATCTGTGCAAAACTGGACATTAAAAGTGTGGGGTTTTGTGAAGACTCGGTAAGAAACCCCTCCGCAATCGTATGTGTATGTCCGTCAAGCCCCTGAACCCTAAACTCTGAAACATAATCCTAAACCCAAGCCCCAACCCTGAAGCCCTAAAGCCGGCGATTCGCTGCTTTGAAATCCGGCTTCGATTCTGAACCAAAGCCTAAACCCCAAGCTATCGATTCGTTGAATCAACGAGTTGAACTCGGACTTCGGTTCAGGGCCACGTCGGGCCGGTAGCGTCCCTGAGCGAGATCCTTGGCGAAGCCGACGAGGCGGAGGACGAAGGCCTTTTGGGAGGGTTTGGGCTTTAGGCCCTATAGGGTTTAGGCCCTAAACCCTATAGGGTTTAGGGTTCAGGGTTCGGGGTTTAGGCCCTATAGGGTTTAGGGCTTATAGGGCTTATAGGGCTTATATGTGGGCTTAGGGCTTGCAGGGTTTGCAAGACCAAAGCCTAGAATCACCTAGAAACCAGTGGGTTAGGCCCTGAGGACCGCAAGGTGTGACTTGATATATTTTCAGGGGCCAGCCACCCCTCTTACCCTAAACCCTAAAACCCTAAACCCTAAAACCCTAAACCCTAAACCCTGAACCCTGAACCCTAAAAACCCTAAACCCTCTCGTCGCAGTCGCAGGCGTCCTCCTGGAGCCAGCTGCGAAAGCTCCGAGGACCGAGGCTCCGAGGCATCGGGTGTAATGTAGAGCGGCCTTTTTGGAAGTCGAAGCTTCTGGGCTCCTTTATAGTATATCTGTATATATATATATATATCCATATATATATATATATATATATATAATGTATATGCATACCTATAATAATAAGGAGCCCTAAGGACTAATACTTGCAACTATTTTTGCTTCCATAAACTCTGCATGGCGAGGAACATGAAGTCGAAAGGTCTTTAAATCCCCGCAAACCCTTAAACCAAATGGCCCCTCCGCACTCAGCCCCAGAGGTGACTGCATCAAGCGTGCTCGGAAGCATCAGATCCTACACTCTCAACGCCGGGCCAAGCCCAGGCTGTCGACATGACTATCATGCTTTTTGCTTACTCGTATGACCAGTAGCATACGGAAGCCCAAAGAGCAACAGCAAGCAGTCGTCCCAAAGCCCCTCTTCGCCGATCCCGCCATCCCCAACCCCAGAATTGTCGTGCCCACTTCGGGCCACCGAGCTTGCCAGGATTGCAAGCCTCCTTGCATCATTGCCAGCACCAAAAGCGACATGATCGGTAAGCCCAGGCGGGCTTGATGCCGTTTCAGGGTGATTTGTGTTTCTGTCGCTTTGCAAGCTGTGCTAGATGAAGCGAGGGTCGGGGCGCTTAGGCGGGACCAAGATGTGATGTCACTGGCATGTCTTGGGTTTCGAGGAATTAGGCGTGGTTGTGTCTTCGGTTCCGAGTTCCAAGATTCGAATGGAGCCTGAACTCGAGACTCAAGGCTTCCAGCGACCCACCGAAAGCGAATTAGGCGAGAAGGAGGTGACGCACCTAGGACCTAAGCCCGACACATCGCATTGGATCCACTACTCCTTTCTTGCTCGGGTTGGCTTAGTCTGAAATCTCTTCGCCCTTCGGGTTTGTGTCGCCAGTGCCCGATATTTCCGTACAAGGCCCGGGCCTCTCAAAGCCCACCCCCAAGAAGTGACATCCGCCTCATGAAACTCCGAATTGCTTGAACTCTGAACCCCAATGCCCGAAACCCGAAGCTTCAAAAAGGCCTCAGAGCTGGCCTTTTCCCCAATTCCAGAAACCCGAAGCCCGAAGCTTCAAAAGGCCTCAGAGCCCCAAGACCCTAACCTCTCCGCACCTTTCTCCCGTTCCCCCAAATCCCAAAAGGTCCGAAGACCTCGAACTTGTGCCACTGCAGGTTCATGATGCCGGTCTTGGCTGATGCGACATGTAGGAATCTGATCCAGAAAACCCTGGTTCTTCATATGCTTCTGAAAAGGAATCATATTTATTTGGGTTTCTGAATATAATATTGAATGTTATGATCTCGAAGTCTGATATGGATTCGTCTACATATTTTGGTGGCTCTTCATATGGATTACATTACCTCGCTTCAGGGGCTTATACATGTTTGTGCATGGGTGTTGATGGTTCGGCGGTTTCGGGGCTGGGGGCTTAGGGGTATAGCTGTTTGTTAGTCAGTGTCTAAGGACTTTATGAGGGACAGCTAACAGGGGCCTTTAATCCCATTACCTTAAATAACCCTTGTATAGCCCTTATATACTTCTTATATAGCCAGGCAGTCTCCAAATTGATATTAACCCCAACAACCTACATTGGTCCCTATTAAGGGTCCCTCCTAAAGCCCTTAGACAGTGGGTCCGGGCGCAGGTTAGTTGGCTTTAGTCTGAGGCCCAAGAGGCCCTAGCCTGAGCTCTGTAGTGGCCCCTAAACCCTAAACCCAAAGCCCTGCAGCCTAAATCCTATATTCCCTCTCTATAGAGCCCTTCAACATCTCACAACTCTCTGCGTTTGAAGGGTTCTGTGTCCGGTTCCGAAAGACGCCAGCGCTTCGCCTGTGAACAACAGGGCTCCTAAAGGACCACATGTGCTCCTCAGAAGAACCGCGAGGCAGCGAGATGGCCGTCCCCCAATCTTCACTCACACGTCGGATCTCAGAGGGTCCAGGGTAGAGCTGGCTCTCATGACAAGCCCTGTAAAAGTTTAAGTGCGTGCGAAGGTACGTACTCTGTTCAGCCACAGGTTATTTTGAGGTGCATTTGGTCCTTACAGGCTGCCAGCATGCACGGCAAGGCGGAAAAAGGGCGGGGACATCTTTCAGAACACCACGCCCAGTTGGCATTTATTTTATGGTGTTGTTGTCTTCCTCCTCAGGTGACGAAGTCAGTTGTGCCAGGATTTACTGGCGTGGTTGAAATTGGTTTTAGGGGTTTGGATCCTGGGCTAGAGAAGCTTCACCTGCTACGATCCAGGGAAATAAGGTAATGTAGACCCCCGATTGAGACTTCCCCCTCTCCTGAGCAACCCTTAGCGACACGGGGGGTGTACATACCACACTGACATGAATCTTTGGCGATGCCCTTACAAAAAGACCCTTCCGGTGGAGGCAAGATAAACAGCTGCAGAAACCCCATAGCAATGCCCTTCGCAGGTCAATGCCAGCTGTAAAGGACCGGAAAGTGCACGTGTTGCCTCCTTCGGTTCCGGGTCTATGCCTAGGTTTCAGGTCTCGCAGGGTTTGGCGTGGGGTCCAGGATTTCTGATTCACGCTGCTTGAGTTTGTTCGTGACCCTCTGCCACGCACTTGTCAGGTCATCTTGGCAAAGCGCTTGCTGAGAAGTCAATGCAAGTAAATCTTGGACATACCCTTTAAGGAAGTCCTGTATGGGTTCCTGAGGTAGAGTTCAACTCGAAATCCAGAAACTCACCAAAGCAGTAAATCCCCAGAGCTCAGCAAAAGGAATGACACCGCACTCCGTGCCTACTGCCCTCGGTGGCAGCCTGAGGAAAACCCACGCCGTAGGATTCAACATCAGGGTTTACACTCTGGTGCCTTGTTAGTTTGGGACATTGGCAAGGAACATTCTGAGTTGAGTTTCGACTTGAACCCTCGGTTCCGCAAGTCCCGCATCGAGGGTGTTCTTAAACCTAGAACTCCGAACCCTCCCTAAACCATAAATCTAACACCTGACCCGAAGAATTTAACCCGAAGAGTTCCTATAAGTTTATCGGTTCGATAGATCCTGTCTATGGACCTATAACCAACACTAACACTGTAGTTCGCTTTGTGGAGTACGCTTTTGGGGTTTATTACAGGATCCTAGCCGCAAAGCTGGCGAGCCAAGCCGAGGAGCCATAGAGACTACAGGTGGACTTCAAGCTCCGTCGGTTTCGGAGTATATCGGAAGACGAGCTTCGTTTAAATTCGAAGCCAAGACCTTTGGGGTTTGGGGGTTTAGGCTTTAGGGTTCCTAAACCCGCTTCTGTCCAGGTGCATTGTACATTGCCGAGATTCGCATGGCCATGGCAGCAATCAAGGAGGCCTTTCTCAGACTTGGGGCCTTGCGATGCGGGAGGAAGAGGAGGGAAGTTAGGGTTTCATAGTGATTAGACCGACACCTACGTTCATGCTTGCTTAGTCTTGATAGTGATGTGAGCTCTGAGATCTCTCTTTGCAACGAGCCGTTGCAGGATCGATGGGAGGATCTTTGGAAAAGCGCCACAGCAGAGGCACAGGGATACTTGGAGTTCGCTTTCGAGCTCTAGCATTGGAGCTGTGGGGGCGATCATGATAGGAGACATCGTGAACTTGGGTCACCAAGGTTTGAGGCTTGAGACCTGAAGCTGGGGATGTTGCTGGCTGGGCTCTTGGGGGTGAGGGCAGGGTTGACAGCGTTCTCTAGGGGAAACGTGGGCGCTGAGGGCGGTCTGGATATGTTGTGCTTGCATGGACATCAGTCTTGGTTCCCAACCCTCTGTGAAAGCTTGACCCAATCCCAGCCGTACCTGAAACCCTATGAGCCCTAACCGCCCTAAACCCTAAGATTCTACAGCTTCCAGCATGCACCGGATGAACACCGGAATCTCCGAAGATGCTGCTAAATAGAACCAGCCCCCAAACCACATTCTAATCATCGGGCCGCTAGTAGGAAGCTCCGAGCCAAGCAAATTCGGCTACCGAAGGCGAAGACTTCGCTTCCGTCGGTGGTCAAGGACAAGAGCAAGGCAGCCGGTCTTCGGATGTCGGGTCATGTTAAAAGGCCTAGAGTCAGCCGAACCCCTGAATCCGAAGCTTGATTCTCAGCCACTAAACACGAAACCCTAACCCGCAAAACCCTGAACCCGAAGCCCTGTAACTGCTAAGCCTTTGAACCTCAAACCCCGAAACACCTGATCTACAAACCAAACCCTTTTTCTACTCATCAAGGCCCCCATATCACCCTAAACCGTAAACCCTAAACCCCAAACCCTAAACCGAATAGCCCCCATATCACCCAACTTCCAGAGCCGGCCTTGCAAAGCAAGGCCCCAAAGATTGAAGACTCGGCTTCAGTGCTCAGCCCCCAACCCAAGATCGATTCTATCCTAGGCTGGGGGGTGGGCGGTGCCAGAGGCCTAAATGGGCAAGCTATGTTCTAACTCCTTGATAGTATATATTGTAGCTTATCATGATACATGATCGTATATTATACTACATACTCTAATATGCCCCTCTCTGGTCAGGGCCCTCTCCACATCCTCCTGAAAGACGGACAGCTGACTGTTGGGAAGCTCGAGACAGCGAGGGCCCGAAGATTTTGGGGCTTCCGAGACTTGGCGTTCTTCTGCTTGGAGGTTCATGGGTAGTTATAAGTAGGGTAACTATATAGTTATAAGCAAAATGAGGGGACTTATAACTCCACTTATAACTACGCATGAACCTCCAAGTAGGGGTTGCTGGGTTTAGGGTTTAGAGGTTCGGGGTTTAGGGTTATGAGCCGTGCGGCACTCCGCTCCATCAAGGTGCTTCGATGTCCGAACGTGCAGAACGAGGCGGGCGTGGGCGCGGTCGCAGTTTTCCATCCTGCAACAGTTCAGGCTTCAGGGATAAGCGGTGGGGTTTCTCCTGTCTGGCATGGTTGATGAACCGCTTGGCTTCGAATCGCATGCGTAGTCTGGGGCCTCTCTCTGGGATCATGTCTGCGGTCGAGGCTTTGTGCTTAATTAGGCCCTTCCTGAAACTCGTTTCTGGTCTTCGCGGTCTTGGTATAAGTTTATCAGAGAGAGAGAGAGAGAGAGAGAGAAGGAAATGGCATCATGGGTTGTTAGAGTGCCTCCAAGAACAGCCCAATTAAATCTGCAGAAATCTACGGGTCCATGTCCATGTAGCAAAGATAGCCAGTCTGCACGAAGTTTTCTAGTGGAAGTCCCTTGTGAGATTCTCATGCTGTAAGAATCGTGGCGTGTGCCTTGGGGGCTCCTCCCAGATGCAAGGGGCACGAACCACTTCCTTGTTGGTATCTTGTGGTGTGAGCCTGACTAGATCTACTTGGAGCCTCAAGCAACCTCAACCCTCAACCAAAAACCTGACCAAAGCCCAAGACCCCAAGCCCCAGACGGTACACCCCAACCCCAAAACCCCAAACCCAAATTCAGAAGAATTTCGCTTTAAACCAACACAACTCCAAGCCCCACCGCCGACACCTCACTCGTCTCCGAACTTGAGCTTCAGATCCTCCTGTCTCGAAACCCTGAAGCCCTATTTCCATGGGCCTAAGCATTTGGGCTGGCTCGGGTGCTTTGTTCTTGCTGTTGTTAAGGGAACTTCGTGGACTGAGCTCCCCGAATGCGAGACTGGCTTCACATCCTGAGGCATCTAAGCCAGCTGCTAGAACTCATGGACAAAATCCAGCATCAGCCTAGTTGTCCCTAAACAAAACTGATCACATGATAATTCCGTAAGTATTAACGCAAGATGTTGCCCGGAACCCTAAACCCAACTAAACCCAAAAACCCGACTAAAACCCAAATCCTTCTGGAGCACCGACCTCCCAAGCTCGGGAGGAGCTTCACCGTAGGGACCAGAGCTCCGCACTTCGTCCTGGCAAGGGTCCATTAGAGGGCGCTTCTGGAGACGGTTTCTGGGATTTTGGTAGGGTTGGAGTATTGGGGCATTCGACTTTCTGGATCTTCATGGTTTGGGGTTTTGGATTTGTCGGCTTAGCGTCATGGTCCGGGCTTTCGGGTTTGTGGCCAGTTGTAAAATGGGAGGGTCCTTTGTATAAAGCGGACCCTAATTTAGAGAACATATAGTTTCCTTCAATCAGCATCTGGTAACTTTTTTTGCCTTTTCCATGGAAGAGCATGGATTGTATGTTCGCGGGCTTCGGGATGTAGTTGGGTTCTCAGGCCTGGTCTCTGTAGCTCTTCCAAGGTTTTGGATCACAGGCCTGGTGGTATTAGGACCAGGTCTGCAACTCCCCGAAGCTGAAAACCCACCGAAGAAAGGGAACAGCAATCGTTGAAGGGAGGGTAGGCACCCTAAAACCGGGACTGTAAGGGAATCTTGATACAAAGTATCAAGCCTCGTTGCTTATCAACCCGAGCCCAAAGACCCTGAAGCCGAAACCACACAAGTTTGGAATCTTGTGCGGCTTTGCCAAGACCATGTGCCCCATAGAACCTATAACATAAACCTGTAAGCCCCATGTGCCCGACAATCCCATGAATCGTCTCAGACCAGTCCTGTACCCCGTGGACTCTATCAGCCAGAAAATCGGCACAACAGCCAACGACACTCGAACTAAGGAGCTGGTTTTCCAATGCTGCACCATGAAGAAGGCTTTTCCGTGGTTGTGCTCTGTGGTGTTTTGCGGTTTCTTGGCGGCCTGGGCTTTGTTCTACCTTTCGATTTTTTTTTGGGACTGTGAAGGTTTGGGTTCTTGGGGCTATGGGCGTTTGGGGATGTATGGCTTCTTGGGGTTCGTGGGGCCTTTCGGTGCTTTAGGCTGTGTTTTGAACCTCCACTTTCTGGGCTTTGTCGCGAGGTGCTCACGCTTGGTTCTTTTGTTGCTAAGGTGCATGCGGGCTTTTGGACTTGCTCTTGTTGTTGCGGGGTCAAAATTACCATGCGGCACTGCGGGTATTTATAAAGACCTGTAGACACTGTGTATTGAAGAACGAGTCGCACAGACCAACTTGTTGTTTTGCGGAAACATAGAAACGGAAATTCGTTGTCTGAGGCGCTGCGGGAACTAGGCATGATGCCAGTTCAGACCGAGTTGGAGTTACCACATGCACCATTTCCCAAAGAATTGAGAGTGCTTTTTGAAAGCCCCGCGCACGCGAAGCCACCTGGTCCCAAATCCGAAGCCTAAACCCTAAACGGTTAACCCTAAACCCTAAAAAAAAACCCTAAAGCCCTAAACCCCAAAAGTCTCGGAAGGATCAGAAGTCCGACTCCACGACTCTGGAGCAGTCTCCAGGGCAGACTTTGCCCACGTCTCGGCGCTGTAGAATGCGGACCTCATGGAGCGTTCAGTCTTGGCCCCCACAAACCCCCCACAGTTCAGACTGAACTCTGCACCCTGAACCCCTAGAAAGCCTCTGAACCTAACGATTTCGATATGCGGCTGTGACGAGGGCTGAGTGATTTGTGAAGGTGGTGGGGGTGGGCGTCGGATTATGGATTGAGGGGTTAGTTGCAGAACATTAGGGGTTCCTTACCCAGGGGTCCTTATAAAGAATGAGGAACCTTCTATATTCAGGGGCTACCTTCGAGGCAAGCTTACGATCCGGAGGGCCAGGATCAATGAAGCGATGAGAGTGTTGGATTTCGAGGACTTCTTGGGAAAAGCGCGACTGACTGCCGACAGGCTACTGATGAAGTTGGGGGGTGGCTCGTCAGAAACGTTTGCGCTTCCGGTAGTCAGCAGCATGGGGGCCCTAGCTATTCGAATCGATTTGTGGGTACAGGCTATGACAAATAAGTATGCGGGCATCATAGCGGGAAATATCGGCAATTCTAAGAGCCTTTTTTGGATTCGAAGCCTGCCAAGGAGTTGCAAGCCCAGCCACTGGGTGTGCGCACTCCCCACGTGGTGCGCCAGGGGGTTTAGGGCTTCAGCTTTAGGGCTTGGCTTGTTTTGGGTTTTAGGGCATAGGGGTTGGTAGTAGCCCTGGATCTTCTGGGGGCTTGGGCTGGGCTTGGCGTCGTGGCTGCCATAGTTGGAAGGCTTTAAGGAGGCGTTGCCTCCGCGGCTTGTTTATCTTAAGTTATGACAATCGGAGAAGAAGTAGGTTAGGCTCGCGTAACATGGCGTTTGTGTGCTGGCCTGGCTGTGAGAAAACTGCCCTCACCTCAAGGACCCTAAAACCCAAGGGCCCTGAAGCCCTGTATACACCCTAACCCTACTTCATTTCACGCAATCCGTCAGGAACATGAAAGTGAAGGGAGAGGAGACACAGAAACGTCTCGCGGAGCTCCTCGCATTCGCCGGGCCCCCGAGAAGTCGGAATTAGAGGCTTGTCGGTTGAGGTTTAATGAGGGTTCCACGGCTTTACAGGGCTGTTATGGTGTGTTCATGGTGATTTGGGGCTTTACAAGGCTAGTTACAGTTATGGAGTTGTTGTCGCAGTTTGGACCCTTGCTAGAGGGGTTTTAAGTTGTCACTGGCTTGGCCCACGGAGTGGCAGGGCGTGGTTTGTATTCGCAAGCCTTCAGGTTGATTGAACCCGTTGCCCCTTTTTTTGCAAAGTTTGCCTGTGCGGGGCTCTGGGCACGGAGCTCTGAAACCCCGCCAGGCCCCAAACCCAAAACGGGCCTTGGAAAGCCAAAGTCCAGGAATCTCCAAGATCTTCGTGGCTTCAGGGCTGCGGTCCTTTTATGTATGCTACACGACCCCGAGACCACAGAGCGCCTTAGAGGGTTTCAGATTTTTTGGGGTTTCGAATTACAGGGGACTCGGGATGTGCTTTTGTGGGCTACGCTTCAGGGCTCCCATCTATTTAATCCCAAGCACTCTGCATCCCAAGGCTACCAGCATCCCAACAAAGGAGCCTCTACCCCCCAATATACATGCCGTAGCAACAGCCACCGGCAAACTGGATCCCAAACCCGACGCCTCCAAGTCTAAAGCGTACACCGACTAGACAAATGGAAATTAGATATGCACAAGAGAAATATCAACTACTGTTGAAATTGCAGCATCCATACAAGAGACGGAAATGTCAGTTTGCAAATCTCTAGCAGATGCCGATTATATAGATACTGTGAATTCAAGAATCAATACGTTGCACGGATATTTAAAAGCAAAACTAAATCAGACGTAAAAAGGTTGAGTTCATCATGATTGACCACTGACAGATCACTAATACAACTAAATTATTAGTGAATACCCCACCCAATGCCCCATACTATTCCCCATAAATTGAATAAGCCTAAGCTTGCCCATTTGGGGAGTTACATCATCTGAACAATAAAGATAAATTGTGTTTTATAGGGCTTAGTGATTACTAGTTGGTTGACGGTGATGTAACTACCCGAACTGGGCGAGGCCTAACCTTGTCCATTTTGGATAATTGCACCTTATTTTCTACATGGTAAAGTGTTTCAAGACATAAATAGTGGCTATTAGTTGTGCGGTGGTGGTGCAATTACCCAAAATGGGCAAGGCCTATCCCAACTGAAACTCCAGGACCGACCCGAAAGCCCCCAAGGTTCGGGTCGTCTCGTCGAAGCCGAGCCCTCCATCAAAGCCTTCCAAAAGGTGGCGCCGGATGTTCTTAATCTACAGGTCTCGGTAAGTAAAGCAGGGTCTGGAGTCAGAGATGCTTGTAGGATTGTACACGAACGGGATAGGGTTACTGCTGATTCAGGACTCTGTTGGATGGCTTGCTGGCAGATTTCAGGGCTTCACAAGTTAGCGCGGAGTTTCGGATTGGCGCCCGAAGCTAAGCCCCAAAGCATCCCCAGACTTTCTGGGAGTTAAGACTGTTGCATAGAAGGTTATGGGGGATCTCAAGCATCGGGCTCTCGGTGTCGATGAAGTTTGGGGCTTTCGGAGCGTCTCCTTGTATGTCAGGAGGAGGGGGGTGGTCTCGGAGTGTCGGTGTGCCCCTTCCTTCCGGGTCTTTTAATGCCATGCGTCCAATGGTCTACCAGGCGTCTCTATTGTAGTTCCTGCTTTTGGTTTCACCAGCCTTAAACTTAAAGGTAGGGATATCCCTGAACCCTAAACCTTGAACTCTGAACCCTAAACCCTAAACCCTAAACCCTAAACCATAACCCTAAACCATAAACTTCCCTAAACACCCAGAATTCAGAAGCTGCAGCCAGGAGCCAGCCTTCGCCGCCACCGGCTCCAGCAGCCGGATCTCCAGCTTCGGGATGTGCGGCGGTCTACAGGGCAGTTTGGGGTGTCGGGTTTAGGGTTTAGGGTTTAGGGTTTAGGGTTTAGGGTTTAGGGTTTAGGGTAGGGCAGTTTGGGGTGTCGGGTTTGGGCCGTTAGGGTTTAGAGATTTTTTAAGGGCCTAGTATTGGGTTTGGGCCAATTGGATTCAAGGTTTTGAGGCTTTCTGGTTTGGGGTCTTCGGGGTCAGTGTTTACAAGGCTGAGGTTTCCAGCCTTCTTTCGAGATGCAGCTTCGTATGTTTGCAGAAACCAGACCTAGCTGCTGCCCACAGGCTGGCGAAGGACGTGGGATGCTTCTGGTCCTGGGTGCATGAAGGAAAAACTGAAGAAAAAGGTCGTTAAACCTTGCCCGGTCTACATGTGCAGTGCAAGAGTTGGAATTCCTCAGACTTGCAGTCACTTTCAATAGAAGCAAATTGAAATTCTGCAAGCACTGCTTGAGATGCGTCCGCCGCCCCCAACCCCCAAACCCATAACCTTGCATTCGGAAACCCTAAAAACCCTCGACCCCCAAAAACCCAAACCCGACGTCCATAAATCGACTTCAGGAAAACTTCCAACCCAGAGAGAGAGAGAGAGAGAGAGAGAGAGCCGGGTTTTCGAATTCAGAGTTTCACGTCGCCCCAGGCTGCCAACACGGTTGTACAGTTCATCCCTGCTCTTGCCTCAGATGTTGTTTGTTTCGAAATGCATCAGTCTCGGGTTTCTAGTTTTCAGCATCTGGTGGATGGTTGTTGAAATCCCCGAAGCAGCGATCCGAGTGATAAGGAATCACCACATTGAACCTTGGGATCTGCATTGCGAGCCTAACTCGGAAATCCCAGCGAAAGGAAGTTCTTGGAGAGTTTTTGTCGGGCTTTTCTGCTCTGGGGGCTTAGGGCCCGGCCCAGTCCTCAACCTTGGTGCATTGGTTTATGGTTAGAATATGGGCCTAAAGAAGTACCAGCACTTTTTTTACTAGTAGAATGTACCCCTGAAGCTCTATTTGAATTATCCTTGCAGTAAGGGTTTAGCGGGGTTTTAGGGAATGGAGCCTTGGCCCACGAGCGTTACGGCATCTTCGCTGATAGGAACTTCGTCGAGTGATCTTCGGCACTACACCGCCCACCCCCCCCCCCGTGGCTGGCTTAAATAGGGTCTATTTGGCAGCTGGATGGCTGCATTTCTGTATACAG